TGGCTGAAGCCCAGACTAAAGCAGGTTTCTGGGGTTTTGTTTAGCTTCTATATTTGTTACATAGTTGCTTAGAGTTGCCGCTCAGAGGCCTGCAGCTTCAGGCGGGGAACGTTGGAGTCCTCCACCACTGAAGCAAGCAAGCCTCATGTTAGTTTCAAGCTGCCTAACTGCCGGCTGCCATCTTGGCTGGCAGTTAATTTGCATATCGCCCCGATTAGCCAATGGGAAGGGTCGTGGTCATACGCCAATTACCATGTTTCTCTTTTATTAGAGAGGATACTGTTACTTTATGTACTCCTACAAAAGAAAAAATACCACCAGTTAAACTATGATACAATGGTTTTTATCACTTAGAACTTTTATTTTTTACTTATGGAAATAACTCCTTTAGGCCTTAAAATTTTTTTATCGTGTAACACTATTCATAAAATAAAAATGAAAATATAAAGAAAATAGATTAGGATATTTCTAAATTTCTCTACATTCAGAATGTTTCTTTTCTGGATAACTTTTACAGTGTTTTAATTATGAAAATTTCCAAATGTACAAAAGAGGAGAGAATAGTAAAATGAACTCCCATCCACCCTTTCACCCACATATTAAATTTTTTTCCCCCATCTATATTCTCACCTACTTTTTCTTCTATATTGGGTCATTTTAAAGAAAATTCCAGATATCATTTTATTCATAAATATTTTCTTATGTATTGCTAAAATGCATACTCTTTTTTGTAAGACACAATTACATTATTACTAACCTTCCTAAAAATTGAACAATAATTCCTAATGTTATTAAATATTGTGTGTTTAAATGATTGTTGTTTAAATGCTTTTTGTGGTTGGTTCATTTAAATTAGGATCCAAACAGGCCATTACATTACATTTGAATAATTCTCTTTAATGTAGGTTGTCCTCCCCCCTCTTTAAAATGTCATTTATTTGTGGGAGAAACTGGGTAATTTTGCCTTATAGAATTGAATTTCCTTTTTTTGGATTTTGTTGTTAGCATCTTGTGACGTGATTTCACGTATTCCTTCATCTGCTAATTTTCCTGTAAACTGGAAGTTAGATCTAGAGATTTGATAAGATTTTTGCTGTTTATTTTGGACAAGTACACATCATAGGTGCTGGTATAGACTTTCTCTTGTTTTATTTCAGAGGTATATAATGTCTGTGTCTGCTAGTTTATCATTTTGTGTTGTTAAATATGACTAATGGGTTCCAGTTTTGCCAGCCTGATCAATCTGTTAATAAAGTTTCCCTTCCGCTTTTCATCTAATAGTTTTAGAAACAATTCATGTTCAATGATTAATCTATTACTTCAGTGGGGTTTGCATAATGGCAAGATTTTTCTTCTATTATTCCTTATGCAATTGTTAGATGGAATTTTTCAATTAAGACTTTCCCTAGATCAACTATTAGGTTACCCTGAGGTATAGTTTAAAAAAGGAAGGCAGGATAAATGCTTGCTTTTTGCTATTAATTTGCCAGTTTGCAAAATAATGAATTGGTTCTTTACAACTTCAAAAGTTAAGGCTTCTAATTTCTGGTCAAGCACATAAGAAGTTTGGAGGTTGCCATTTCATTCAAACAATAAGTAAAAGGCTGAAAAAATTTAAAAAATGAACAACTCTTCTTAGGTGTATAAGGGAAGTGAAGTCACAGGGCAAACAGCTGTTGCCGAAATTAAGTAGACTGCTAAGCCAGTACAGCAAATCACAATCTATCAGAGCCTCCTTGGGAACCAGTGCTGGGTGCAGAAAAACCTGAATGGTAATCGACAAGTCCTGGAGTCTCAGTGCGGACAACTGTGACAATTAAAAACTTCAGGAGGACCCAGTCATTGAGTGGCCCCCATACTTTTGTGAGTTTTACCTCCTGGATCTCTTCCAGGTTCTCACAGTGAACATTGGAGAAAAGTCTCATGGTCCTGGCTGGGGGAGGAGAAAAGAAACCATTTCGCTATATGCCAGAGTGTTCTGGTCTTCTTAACAAGATCTGCCCTATGAGAAACTGTTTAACCAGAGCTTAACAACCTGGGGGAAGGGAAATACTCAACTTTGGCGCACTCTAGCCATCGTGTCTCGTGAAAGGGGGCTGGGGACTGAGAAACACATGTAATGTTGACAGTTGAGGGGCACAGGCTTAGTAAAAAACTGAGACCTAGTCATGGGACTATAACATGCTTCCCCTCCCTGACATCTTTGTCACCACATTGGTAAAGGCTTTATTTACATCAGTTCCTTTTATCTAAAACATCGTGCTTGTCAACCAAGAAAAAATGGTAAGGCCTACCAAAAGGCAAAAACACATAGTTGGAAGAGAGAGAGACAAATGTATAGAAATGTATAGCATATATTAGAAAAGAAGAAAGTTCTAAAAGCAATAATTTAATCTTCTACCATAGGACAGTAGAAAAAGAAGAGGAAATTGAATCCAGAGTAAGCAGAAGAAAAGAAATAATAAAAATTAGAGCAGAAATCCATGAAAGTGAAAACAGGAAATCAGTAGAGAAAACTCAACAAAATAACTGGTTTGTTGAAAAGATCAATACAATTAGGAAGCCTCTAGCTAGCTAACTAACAAAAGCACAGGGCAGCAAAGATTACTAATATTAGAAGTGAAAGAGGTATTACCACTACATATCCCGTGGATATTAAAGGCTTATGAAGGAATACTGTGAACCCTCAATGCCTACAAATTTGATAATGTAGAGAAATGAGCCAATTCCTTGAAGAACACCATCTACTAAAACCTAATTGAGAATAAATAGATAATCTGAATAGGCAAATATCTATTAACGTAATTGAATCAATAATTAATAATCTCCCAAAACAGAAAGCACTAGGTTCAGATGGGTTCACTGGCGAATTCTATCAAACTTTTAAGCAAGAAATTATACCAATTCTCTACAAACTCTTTGAGACGATCTAGAGGGAAACTGATTAATTCATTCTATTTGGCCGGCATTACCCTAATTCCAAAACTAGACATGATATTAGAAGAAAAGAAAACTATAGGCTCATATCTTCATGAGCATAAACACAAAAATCCTTAATTATTAAGAAATTAAATACAACAATGTATCATAAGAATTACACACCATGACCAATTGGTGTGTATTTCAGGTATGTGACTGGTTCAACATTTGAAAATCAGTGACTGGAAACCATCACATAGACAGATTAATAAAAGAAAAATCAGGTGATTATATGAATAGATGCAGAAATAGCATTTGAAAAAGTTCAACACTCATTCATGATAAAAACTCTTACTAGACTTGATAAAGAATATCTATAAAAAACCTACAGCTAATATCATACTTAATGGTGAGAAAATCGAAGCTTTCTTATGAAGATCAGGAACAAGGCAAGAATGTTCCTTCTTACCACTGCTTCTTAGCATTATATTGGGAGTTATTAGCTAATACAGTAAGACAAGAAAAATAAATAAAAGATACAGATTGGGAACAAAGAAATATAGCTGCCTTTGTTCACAGATGACATGATTGTCTATGCAGGAAATTAAAGAGAATCAACAAAGAAACTCTTAGACTTCACCTGAGGATATGTTTTTCTTGATTTTTAGAGAGAGAGAGAGAGAGGGGGGCGGGGTGGGGGGAGAAGGAGAGGGAGAGAAAGTAAGGGAAACATCATTGTGAGAGAGAAACATGGATTGGTTGCCTCCTGTACATACCATGCCCAGGGATTGAACCTGCAGCCTAGATATGACAGGGAATCAAACCTGCACCCTTTTGGTATACAGGATGATGCTCCAACCAACCGAGACACCTGGTCAGAGCTAAAAAATTCTTGTTTTATCCTCACCTGAGGATATTTTTAAAAATTAATTTGAAAGAGAAAGAAAGAGAGAGAGAGAGGGAGGGAGAGAGAGAGAGAGAGAGAGAGAGAGAGAAGAGAGAGAGAAATTGATGTGAGAGAGAAACATCCATCAGTTGCCTCCGGTTCACGCCCTCAATGGGGATTGAATCTGAAACCTAGGTGTGTGCCCTTTGTGCTCTGACTAGGGGTCGAACCTGAAACCTATTTGGTGTAAGGGATGACTCTCCAACCAACTGAGCCATCCGGCCAGGGCCAGGGCTAAAGTAATTTTTTTTAAAATTGTATTACATATGTCTCCTTTTTCCCCGACTGACCACCCCCCTCCCCCAGTAATTTTTAATTTATTGTCTGTAATTGTGTATTAAAGAGCAACTCTGACCTATAAGCAGTAAGGTACACATTGGAATTTAAGTTCTTGATCATGTAAATTTATGTTTTAATTTTTTTAAATTTCTTTTTTTGACAGGTTACAAAGACGGAATTAGAGAAATTAAAATCCAGCTATAGACAATTAATAAAAGAAATGAATTCTGCCAAAGAGAAATATACAGAAGCTCTAGCTAAAGGTATGGCAAAGTTATGAAAAAGTGTTTACTTTAGTGATTTTTATTCTTATCATTTGAATATTATCTTTATAAGTAGTGTAATGATTCCACTTAGACTAATTTATGTTAAAAAATACTGAAATATACCTGGTTGGCGTGGCTCAGTGGTTGAGTGTTGACCTAAGAACCAGGAGGTTGCCGTTCAATTCCCGGCCAGGGCACATGCCCAGGTTGTGGGCTCGATCTCCAGTGTGGGGTGTGCAGGAGGCAGTGGATCATTGATTCTCTCTCACCATTGATGTATCTCTCTCACCCTCTCTCCCTTCTTCTCTGAAATCAATAAAAATATGTTAAAAAAATACCAAAATAAACCAAAATAGACTGATTGTGAAATTATGTAATAATTCTTCCTTTATAAAAAAATGATGCACAATGTTTTTGAATAGTGTATACTAAATGGAATTATGTAGCATTTGTGTAATACAATGCAAAGTATTTAAATTGATATCTAGCGTCAGATTTAGTTAATTAGTGAGTGCTGAATAAGAAAAACAAGGTTGTATTTGTTTAGAAGCCTTTTCAATCCCCCTTTTACCATGATACTTAAAGCCTTTAAAATCACAAGATCATATTGTAGCATTATCTTGCCTTTGTAGCTGAATTTTATGTGTCTAGTGTCCTACACTTTTCATTGGACAGTTGGAAAGTAAATGGAAAGAGAAACCAATGTTTTTAACAGAGATTTATGGTTATAGTCTTGAATTGTAGCTAAACAGTTTTCATATTTTGTTTTTTTTAAATTATAAAAGTTGAAATTATAAAAGTTAAAATTTTCTTTCTGGCACCCTAACCGGTTTGGCTTTCAGTGGTTAGAGCATTGGCCTGGGACTGAAGGGTCCCCAGTTTTGATACCCATCAAGGGCACATGCCTGTGTTGCCGGCTCAGTCCCCGGTAGAAGGCGTGCAGGAGGCAGCCAATCAATGATTCTCATCATTGATGTTTCTATCTCTCTGTTCCTCTCTCTTTTTCTCTGCAATCAATAAATTTTTTTTCCTTTGCCTTATTAGAAACTCCATTTTCTTTTTACTATTTAATTTACCATTCTCTTTTATTAATGTATTTTTCTTTGTCTTTTACTTGTATATTATCTTGTTATTTTTATGTACTTGGGTTGCGGGCACATCCCCAGTGGGGGATGTGCAGGAGGCAGCTGATCGATGTTTCTCTCTCATCGATGTTTCCAGCTCTCTATCTCTCTCCCTTCCTCTCTGTAAAAAATCAATAAAATATATATATATAAAAAAAAGAAAGTACAGAGGTTTTACTTTTCTATTATAGCTTGAGTTCTGAACATCTTAGTTGGTTTTAAACACATAGTTTTGCCATCAAACAATTTTGTGAGGAAATATAGTTTGTATCTGGACTAGGGTTCTGACATACACCTGTAAATGTTGGAAAAGTTTGCCATCACATCATCCTTATAAAAGTAGATGATTTCACAAAAGAATTACAGGATCATGTTGTCTGTGAATAAAGAGTTTTATTTTTCCTTTTCATTATGATTTCTTTTACTTGTTGATTGCCCTAGCTAGCACCTCTAGTATAATGTTGAGTAGAAGCAGAAAGAGCAAAGATCAAAGATGTTTGCCTTGTTCCTGAACTTGGGGGAAAGTCTGCCACCACTAAATATGATGTTAGCTGTAGTATTCAAATATTTTTTTTTATTAGGTTGAAGAAATTCCTTTCCATTCATTCTTTATAATGGATGATGGATTTTTGTCAAATGCTTTCTTTGTATCGATTGAGATGACATTTTTTCTTCTTTTTGATTTAATATGGTGAATTATTTTGATTGATTTTCACGTTTCAAATATTACAACAGCCTCACATTCCTGGAATGATAGCTCCTCTTGCCTATGCTGCATTATCATTTTTTATATTGTTGAATATGGTTGGCTAAGTTTTTGTTTATAATTTGTTAAAAATGCTTTTGATGGTTACATTGTTTCTTTAAAATATATTTTTATTGATATATTTTCAGAGAGGAAGGGAGAGGAATGGAGAGATAGAAACATCCATAATGAGAATGTCCCCTATTGGGGATCAAGTTGGCAACCCAGGCACGTGCCCTTGACTGGAATCGAACCTGGGACCCTTCGGTCCACAGGCCGACACTCTATTCATTGAGCCAAACCAGCTAGGACTTGTTTGTAAATGTAATCTGTATTTTTGTTTCTTGTAATATCGTTATCTCATTTTTATAAGGCTATTGCTGTCCTCTGAATGATTACCTCCTATTCAATTTTTTAGAAAGATTTGTGTTCTACAGCTCATATTTCTGAAATATTGGTAGAATGTACTTCTGAAGGTTTTAAAACTTTAAATTCAGTTTCTTTAATTGATTTAGGGCTATTTGGTTTATCTGTTTCTTTTTGTTTGAATTTTAGTAGGTAACTACTTTCAAGGAATTTGTCCATTTCATTTAAGTTGTTGAATTTATTGGTATTGTCGTTTATAATATCCCCTAATTCACCTTTTTATATTTGCAGAATTTGTGCTGACATTTCCTTTTTCATTCTTGATATTGGTATTTTGTGTCTTCTCTCTTTTTTTCCTAATCATTTTGGCTAGAAGCCTATTGATTTTATTAATATTCTCAAATGTCAGCTTTTGGTTTTGCTTTTGTGTGTGTGGCGGAGGGTTATCATTCTACAGCATCATTGGATTGATTGATTGCCTTAGTACTAGATTTATTTATTTAAAAAATTTAAGTATACTTTGACATACAATATATTACTTTCAGGTGTATGACATAGTGATTCAACATTTATATACCTTGTGAATGAATTGCCATGAGTAGTGATTATCTGTTAGCATTTAAAGTTATTGTAACATTATTGACTGTATTCCCTGTGACATATTTATTTTATAACTGGAAATTAGTATCTTTAATCCCCATTCACCTGTTTTGCCCATCACCCCGCTTCCCTCAGGCAGTCATTAGTTTATTTTCTATGTTTATGAGTCTGTTTTGTTTTATATTTCTGCATATAAGTGAAATCATATAGTATAAGCTTTTCTCTAATTTCATTTAGCATAATATTCTCTAGGTCTATTCATGTTGTCATAAATGGCAAGATTTTATTCTTTTTTTATGGCTGAGTAATATTCATTGTATAAATGCATTGCATGTTCTTTATCAATTCATCTATTTATGTACACATAGGGTTGCTTCTATATGTTGGTTATTGTAAATAATGCTGTAGTGAACATAGGGGTACATATCTTTTCAAATTAGTGTGTTTGATTTCTTTAGATAAATACCCAGAAGTGGGATTGCTGGGTCATATGCTGTCCTTTTTTTTTTTTTTTTTTTTTTTTTTTTTTTTTTAGGAACCTTCATATTGTTTTTCACTGTGGCTGCACAAATTTATCCCACCAAGAGTGCATGAGGGTTCCCTTTTATCCACTTCCTCACTAACACTTATTGTCCCCTCCCCCTATTTTTTTGCTTTCTATTTAATAGACTTATGCTTTAGTCTTTATTATTTCCTTCTGAATGTTTAAGCTTAGTTTGTACCAATCATTCTATTTTCTTGATGTGGAAGCTCAGATCATTGATTTGAAAAGTATCTTATTTCCTTTCCTAATGCAGGCATTTAGTGCTATGAATGTCCCTAAGTACTCTTTTGCATCATTTTATTTATCCTTTTCATATACTATTGTGTCTTCATATTCATTCAGTTCAAAATATTTTCTTATTTCCTTGTGTTATTCTTTGATCTATAGGTTATTTAGAATTGTGTTATTTAACTTTCTAAAGTTATGGCATTTTTCTTGAGATGTTCTATTTTTTATTCATAATTTACTTCCATTTTGGTCTGAAAATATTCTTTTTATGACTTTATTTCTTTATATTTATGTACATGTTATATATCCCATAGTATGGCATATCTTGATTCTTCATGTACATTTGGTAAGACTGTGTGTTCTATTATTGGTTGGAGTGGTCTATTTGTCAACTTGGTACAGTTGGTTAATATTGTTATTCAAATTTTTAATGTTTCTACTTATTTTTTGTCTACTTGTTCTATCAATTATTGATATGGGGCAATTGAAATCTCCCACTGTAATTGTGGGTTTCTCTGTTTCTTATAGTTCTCTGTTTTTTGCTTCATGTATTTTGAGATTCTGTTGTAGTTGTATAAGCTGTCAAGATTGTTATATCCTCTTGATGACTCTCTTATCATTATGAAGTGACTTTTATTATCCCTCCTATTGTTCTTTGCTGTGTTACCTGATTTATCTGCACATTTTGTTTCCCTTTGGCAGCTTTTAGGATTTGCTTTTCATCATTGGTTTTAAGTGATTTGGTCATGATGTGGTTTTTCTTTTTTACTTGTGTTTGTGGCTTCTGACCTTCTTGTATATACCTGAGAGTTTGTAGTTTTAATGAGTGTGGAAAACTTTTATCCGTTATATATTCACATATATTTATTGTCACCCCTTCTCTTTCTGCTGGCCTTCAGAGACTCCAGGTACGTGTGTATTAAGCTGCTTGTAACTGTCTCACAGCCTACTGATGCTGTGATCATTTTTTCCTCCTGTCTTTTTTCTCTTCTGTTTTATTTTGGTTGATTTCTATGGCTATGTCTGTAAATTTACTAATCTTATTTTCTAGTTTACTTAAAGATATACTGAAGTACTAGAGAAGATGTTCAAAATAACTGCCTCATAGTTACATATTCTGATGTGACATATTTAATTGATTCTATATGGATAGAATTACACTAGTGTTTTATATTTACCAAGCCTCAAAATACGGACAGTAGCATTTATGGGGGGTTGCTCTTACATGGGTAGAACTCTGAATGCTTCTGTTTTATCACGCACCGTGTTCAGGAAAAAAACAAGGCAGGATGAGCCACTCCACAAGACACATGCCCATAGGAGTCAGTCTGGAGAAGTTTGAAGGGAGCTCTCTTCACACACTTTTATGACAAGAATGGGAAACAATCTT